TTATTGGTACGAAATGGGTGTTCCGTAACAAACTTGATGAAAATGGAATAATCACTAGAAACAAAGCTAGGCTCGTAGCTAAAGGCTACAATCAAGAAGAAGGCATTGATTTTGAAGAAACGTATGCACCTGTAGCACGTTTAGAAGCTATTCGCTTACTTCTTGCTTTTGCTTCGTCTATGGATTTTAAACTTTATCAAATGGATGTTAAGAGTGCCTTCCTCAATGGTTTTATTCAAGAGGAAGTGTATGTTGACCAGCCCCCGGGGTTTGAGGACTTTGAGTTTCCCGATCACGTCTTCAAACTCAAGAAAGCGCTCTACGGTCTTAAACAAGCACCACGTGCTTGGTACGAACGCTTGAGTAAATTTCTTTTGGATAGTGGTTTCCAAAGGGGAAAGGTAGACACCACACTTTTCATCAAGAGTAAAAACAATAACATCCTTTTGGTTCATGTTTATGTAGACGACATTATATTCGGTGCTACTAACGAGTCTTTGTGCAAGGAATTCTAAACGCTAATGACTAGCGAATTTGAAATGTCAATGATGGGCGAGCTCACATTCTTTTTGGGACTCCAAGTTAAGCAAATAAAAGATGGCACGTTCATTTGTCAAACTAAATACTGCAAGGAGCTCCTAAAACGGTTTGAAATGGACAGCGCCAAAGCCATGGCGACCCCGATGAGCACGTCTGATCATCTTGACAAAGACGAAAAAGGTAAGGAAGTAGAAGTCAAAAAGTATCGAGGTATGATCGGATCCCTTCTTTATCTTACTACTAGTAGGCCGGATATCATGTTTAGTGTATGCCTTTGCGCGAGGTATCAATCGTGTCCAAAGGAATCGCACTTAACCGCGGTGAAACGGATCATGAAATACCTTGTCGGCACGGTTAACATTGGACTGTGGTATCCAAAAGGCTCTTCTTGTCATCTCGTCGGTTATTCCGACTCGGACTTTGCCGGTTGCAAATTGGACCGTAAAAGTACAAGTGGGACTTGCCACTTACTCGGTAGCTCTTTAGTTTCATGGTTTAGTAAGAAACAAGTCAGTGTTGCGTTATCCACAACCGAAGCGGAATACGTTGCCGCCGGTAGTTGTTGTGTTCAAATCCTTTGGATGAAGCAGCAACTCGTGGATTATGGCCTTAGTATCAGTCACGTTCCACTCCGGTGTGATAATACTAGCGCCATAAGCTTGACAAAGAACCCCGTTCTTCATTCAAGGACGAAACACATTGACATTAGGCACCATTTTATTAGAGATCATGTTCTCAAAGGTGATGTCGAAATTGAGTTTGTTGAAACACACAACCAATTAGCCGACATTTTCACAAAACCTTTAGAGAAAGAGTCGTTCTTCCGCATTCGTAGTGAACTCAGAATCCTTGACTCCACGATGATCTAATTTGTGCATTTTATTACTCCTTTTTCTGTGCTTGAACGTTTACTAACTTGAGCGTCGGAGGGTTTTCTAACTCTTTTTTGCAGGGACGGTTCGAGGTGAAGATTTCTGGAAATCAGGGGGAACCAGCGATGGGTGCGTTATACCATCGCTGGGAGGGAAGTCCTCATCTTTCCAGGACCCCTCTTCCCATCGATGGGAACCTTCTCCCATCGCTCGGTGTTTGACTCTATTTTTTAAAAAATTTTTAACAGATTTCCAGAACACCTTTACCCATCGATGGGTAGTTTATCCCATCGCTGGGTGAGTGCTTGCTTTTGTTTCAGAACCTCCCAACCCATCGATGGGAAGTTCCTCCCATCGCTGGGTGTTTGACACTATTTTTTTAAATTCTTTAACGGATTTTCAAAACTACCAAACCAGCGATGGGATGGTATTAACATCGCTGGGGAGGCCATGTTCTTTTAGCGGAAGCCACCTTTCCATCGATGGGAAAATGCAAACATCGCTGGGAAGGCAGCCTTTTGTCCTTCCTCGCTTTCCAGTGGCGACCTTCCCATCGATGGGTAGATCCTACCATCGCTGGGAAGGCACCTGCATTTCAAAAATTCAGAGCCGTTGGGCACCACATTAATTGCCCAACAGCTATATTTTTGAATCTGTACGGCCTAATCTCCCATTCCCTATATATATCCCTCATATTTGCTCATTCTAATACACCATTAACATCATAATTTCATTCCTTGATCCAAATCTCAATATTTCTTCAATCCTTCTTCAAAAACGCCTCAACCATGGCCGGAGGAAGATCAAAGTCTAAGGCTTCTAAGAAGAAAAGCACCGCCGAACCCTCGAGCTCTGCGCCTCCACCGTTCCCCTACCTGGACGGATCGTTTCTTGAGTTCGGGTCGGAGGAGGAACTCAACCGATTCCTCACGCACTTTGCCAAGCGTCCCATTTCTCCGCCTAGGGTGCTGCCCGAGTTGTACCCTCAACAAAAGGGGTACCACGACCTCGACAATCAGCTTCAAGCATCGGGTCTGTGGTCGTTCGTCTCCAGGAGCCGCTCGAGCTTCAATCCCGCCTTTGTGCGAGCCTTCTACTCCAATCTCCGCCGTGACGGGGACACCATTCGCAGCAGCATCAATCTCTACGACATAGAGATTGATTTGCCTACCTTTGCTCGGGTCGCAGGGCTGCCCATCCGCGGTGACGACATCGCAACCTATGGTGGCGACGATTGGATCCTCAACAAAGAGGCGGTCGTCATTCGTGAGCTTGGGATCACCAACTTGATCTGCCACAGCGGCGCACCGACGATTCACTCGGCCCCACCGGACAAGCGCCTCCTCCTCTACATCATCACCCGGATTCTCCGCCCCCGGGACAGCAGCCATACCTCGCTGTTCAACGAGGACTTGAAGGTGATTCATGCCATCATCCACGGCGCCTCCATCAATTGGGCGAAATTCGTGATGATCCACACGGCGCCTTCCTCGTCATGGACCTCATCATCTCCGCCGACATCTCCATCGCCGGCCTAGATACGAAGATGACAAAGATTTGGATAATTCAAGACAGCACCTTCCGGAAGAAGTCCGGAGACCGGGACGACGCAGGCCCGAGTCGTGCACCAGCCCCCGCTCCCGCCAAGGCCTCCTTGCAATCCATAGCCGATACTCTGAACCGGCTAACCCTCATAGTGGATGGCATGGGGCAGTCAATCGAGAGGATGGACTGGACGCTGCAACGCCAACACCACGACATGACGGCGTTCTTCCGCGGCATCAACTACGTCCTGCCGCCCTTTGACAGCACCTTCCTTGGCCAAAACTATGAAGGCGAGGACGAGGAGGATAACTCCTATGCTCCATCCTCCTCCCCCGACGAGGCCGACTTTGAAGATGCGGTCGACGGCGATCCCATGGACGTCAAGGACGACGAGGACGCCGATGCTTAGACTTCTCTTTTCTCTTCTTCCTATGATTTTATTTCTTATTTTTTCTTCCATTCCGTTGTATTCCGCATTTCCCTTTTCATGAATAAGTGTTTACTTTTAAAATTCTAAAGTTTACTTTTAATTCTTTTTGTTAATGTCAAAACGGGGAAGATATTAAGGTCATGCATAAACTAAGGGGGAATTTTTTTTGTAAAATAGCATCTATTAAGGGGGAACATCCTTTTCAAAATAATCCTCCTATGCATAACCTCGTCTCGTTTGCCATTATCAAAAAGGGGGAAATTGTTGAAACACGGGCTTGTCACGTTTTCGTACTAAAGCCGTGTTCGTTTTTGTAACAGGTTTTGATAATGCCAAACCGCCGTGATCAAGTCAAACATTGAATATACAAGGCGAAGAATGAAGATAAGAGCAAGAGCTAAACGAAGACCAAGAACGGAGACCTTAATCATAGTATTGAGTCGGTCTTTATTGTGATCAAGACCGACCCAATCTTTACACTTTGGCTCTTTAGGCTAAAAACTCTCATTGCATTTCATACATCATAAAAAGGGTTTTAAACTTGTTTAAGTCATTAAAAACACTTGGTGTTCGCCCAAACCAAAAACCAAGCCATCCAGTGTTCGGCTTTCAGAAACCAGCGTTCGGCTTTCGGTTGTCGGGTTTGGTTTTTGGCATCCGAACCAACCAAGTGGTTTTCAGCATTTTATGATCTGCTTTCACTCTTTGGCATGTTTAAACGGTTCTCCAACAAAAACACCTTGAAAACCATCTCTCGCTTTTAGTCGTTTGACAAAAACCACGCAAAACGGCGTAAACTTGGCTAGCCGTGGTTTTTAC